AAAAGGCAAAAGAAGTCGGGTATACTCGAATGTTGTCTTCCTCTTCTTGCTCTCGATTTTGAGCTTAATCTCTTCGACTTTTCTTGAACTTGACGCCTCAAGACACTTCTATTGGGAGTTTAGAATGAAGTAAAAGTGATATTATGTTGGTGGTATTGAGGGTTTACCACTAGAACTCCAAATTACTCTTAAACATGCACTCGGGATTTTGAAAACTTCCCTCTTGGCTTTTGTAGTTTGCTCTCGGTTCTCTCTATTTTGGAGGAGTTATGCTCGAATTCTCTCCACCACTTTGCTAAGAACTCTCTCAGTATTAAATGAGGAGTCAAAGCAGCTATGGTTAGGCTTCAAAGAGATTAGTTGGGCGTGAGAAAATATGTGGAAGAGTGGAAACAAATGTGTGACAAAAACTTGTGGTGTCATTTCCTATGCATGAGTGGGAATCTTGTTCATCTTTTGGCATGATTTTGAGTGCATGAGGAGCACTAAGGGCTGACAACATATCCTAGCCAAGCACTCAAGGCAAAAAAGGGGAACATGGTCTTACATGAAGAATAAACAATTCATGCCCATGCTTGATTTGGAGTTTAAGAAGTTAATGAGTGTTTGACTTCTCTAATGAATCTTAAAGCTTAACTAGGCATATTAAATCCTTAATCCTCAGCCTAAACTCACTCCTAAAACCAAAGTTTGATGAAAATATGGTAAGTGATTGTCTAGGGCTCGGTACATCAGCACGAGTGAACGTGCGACTATGGCGCCCGACTAGGGTTCGACGTGAGAAAATTGAAGATTCAGCTCGAACGAAAGATTTCGAACATATTAACCGAATAATCTAACATATATACAAGATAATCAAGATTTTAAACATAAAATTTCACATAACCATGCAATAATAACACTTAATCAAACAACTCGGAAACTGAAAAACTACCGGCTTCACTTTATAGTCGAGCAAGTGAAACCGTTCTGATTTGTTAACTGATCGGGGCGTTACAAATGTCTTACTCTTTCAAATTGATATTGTGAAAAAGTATTGATTGTAAGAACATTAATATAAACCAATATCTAGCATATTCACTAGCATATAACATCTTCGATTTTATTTTTTTATAATTAAATATTTCATGTATTGTAATTTAGTTAATTACAACGTAAGAGTTTTGTTTTATTAGCCAACATCTTGTTCATTTATCTAGTTCATTGAATATTTTTTCCCCCGAAATGTACATTATATTTTTTTTCCAGAATTTTCCAACTATTCCCACCATAAGTCTCTATTGATTTTTATTGCCAAAAAGGAGCCCTAAAATCTTACCCACCCTATTTTGCATCCCGCACACGCCAAAAAAATTCTCAACCACCTGAAGTTCTCAATCATCGCCAAAAAAGTTCTCAATCATCGCCAAAGAGTTTTTGGAGAGGTATGAATAAAGTAGAATTCAACCAAAACGTGGTGTCTATGGTGTGTTTAGTGGTTTATTGTAAATTTGCATAATTTTATTTTTCAATATATTTTGGATTCAACTATATTTGATTTGGTATTTAGGGATTCTCTTTCGTATACTAAAACCTAGGGCGACTATGCTCTATTGAGACGAGTAGTACCAGAGGTAATCTTAAGCTTTATTTTCTTTATGATTATAAACTGTTTGATATATTGCTCTAAATGTTCATCTTTTTAGTTTTAGAGAAGTTCTTGTTCACTTTTATAATATATGCAATGGAATAACCTTAAATACAAATTCTTAAGATAACGTATTAGAAAAAATTATGCATTTAGAATCAAAGTGTTATTGTGGAACTTAGTTACTGGCATCTAAGCATGAGATACTCATTTCATGGTAACATTATTTTTGTTATTCATATACAAAATCAGTTTGATATTATCATTTTTTAAATGAACATCACTTAAGAATCTATTTTATACCGTGAAATTTCAGTTGAATCAAGATGGCTGACTATGAACAACAAAGATTGAAGAGGATACAGGACAATAAGAGAAAAATAGAACAATTGAATCTCAGACCAATTGCTTATGAAACAATGGATATGATAAAGCATAAAAATAGAAAGATCCAGAAAATCGTGAAGTCTAAGCAAGTTACTACAACTAATGATGTCTTCATACCCAACGAAGAAGAAGAAGAAGAGCATTCAACGGAAGAGGATGTCACTAAGATGGTGCAAACAATCTTAAGACCTTGTTCAGAAAAAGTTCTGCAAACAAACATTATCTATTTTGTTCAGTGGTTAAATTTGAATATGTGTGATCACTATATATATGTTTTAGGTTGTGGCTAGTGGAACAAAAAACTCTCAAAGGAGTACGCAGAGAGCACAAGTCCATCATACTTCAATGGCCAGTTTTGTGACGACACGATCTCAGATTTGCAAAAATAGAGGGATATCTTCACAAGCTATGCCGCAGCAAAACATGAATGTAGGTAATGAAAATTGCTTGCCGATACGCTGTCAAGATAAAATTAGGAACATTGTGAAAGTAACGACTGGGGCAGACAAGATGATGGTTGCACCAGGGTCCCTTGGTAGTTTCCTCATAATGAAGGAGCAACTAAGAACAAATATTCAACTATCCAAGCAAAATGGCCTTTTAAACCAGCCAGTGGACAACTCACAAAAGCCGCCAGCAATCTATTCAAGAGTGCGTGAAAAGGAAGATGATAAAGGTCGTAGGTTTGGTTTAGTTGATGAAGATGAGGACTTCCCAAGCTCGGGTGATGATTATGTTGTTGAAGAACAAGTAGATTCAACTCGACTTGCCAACAATATCAATGAAAACACCCAAGTAACTAAAAAACAGCTTGATCGAGATGGTAAGCATTAAAAATTAGTTTAATACACTACAACATAAATGACATTTGGTAACATATTTGTTGTAACACTTTACAAATTTTTAGTTTATGTATCACATTAATGTAACACTTTTGACATAATAAATTTTCTATACATTTATGTAACACGTTTGCAACACTCTACCAATATGTAACATTTTTGTGTAATCTTTCGCAACACTCTATATAATGTAAATTTTATGTAACACTTCGATTAAGTGTCCCTTTTTTATGATGTGATATAAAAATTTGGACCAAACATGGTCCACTTGTATGAACCGATTGTCAGCGAATCGATTAAAAATCTGTCAATAGGAAGTTGAATCGTGATTAAGTGTCATCACTTTCTCTATGATGTGATATGAAAAATCGGACCAGACTTGGTTCACTTGTATGAACCAATTGTCAGCGAATCGAAAAAATCTGTCAACAGGCGGTTAAACCGTCAAAACCAGCCAGTTGGATTTATAATAAATTTTGATTATAATATATGTAAAAAAAATTTAAAATAAAGAAAAAATACATATAGATATAATGGTTATATATACGTTAGTTATTAGTTAGTTTAAGTATTTGAATATTTTGAATTGTCTAAATATTTAATTCACAAAGTTTTATATATATTTTATTTTATAAAATATTATATATTTAAAAATGTTAATAAAATAAATAATGGTCTAAATTGGATAATTGAAGAAGTTTAAAAGCTTTTTATGTGTTGAAAACAATTAGATTAGGTAAATAAAAAATGTTTAAAAGCTAAAAACAAAAGGTAAAGTGAAAAAAGAGATGAATAATAAATTGGCAGGTAGGGTATTTTATTTCTTTTAAAAGAAAAATCCAAGAAGCTCTCTTCTCCGATTTGTCATTCCTCTTAGACCAAGCTTTACGCGACAAGAGCTTCGATCCCTCCACAATTGAGGATCTCATGAAGCTGTTTGAGGAATCTATTCGAGGTTGAGGCGTATCAGGCCTGGGCCAATCTCGAGCTTGATGCCGAGAACGAGCCCAAAAAAGCCCACGACAAGGTGAAGGATTCTGAGGAGTATCTGGACTCGATGATGGACAACGCCAAGGTCGAATTCTGCCAGTTCGAGGAGGAGATGGACCAAGCTGCGGAGGCAATGCACGATAACTTCGTCACCCGAAAATTGGGGAAAAATCTGGAAAAGGCCGCGACTTTTGCTTCTAAGAGGTATATTGAGGCGGCTGTTTATTTTCCTACTGCTTCTATGAGATCTGCTGTCAGGGCAATCTTGTCCAACTCTAACAATGTTCATTCTTCTTAGGTTTTGCTTATTTCTTCTTATGCACAGATATAGTGAATGAGTAGAGATAAATAGAAAAGCACTGATACTTCTATTTGATTTGGTGTTCTTCGTCATGATTTTTATGCTATGTATGTTAGAAGTTAGAACAACTATTTTGGGTTTTAGATATAAATATGGAGTTGTTTAAGAAGAAAAAAAAATGGCAGGGTATGGTTTCCCTCAAGTTTATCCGACTCTAGATCTGTCACCATTCTGCTATTCCCCTGTTCCCCTCAACGGGTTTCTGTTTCACCGTCTTGAACAGTGGAGTCCAGATTATGGCGGCAATCGTGCATATCTAATCTGGTCATCTGTCTATCGATCTTCGAGGTCTATAATCACTTTTCATGAGAAATACACCAATTAGCTGCTGAAGAAATAGGTCATGGATATTTTCGTGAAGTACGACTGGAAAAAATGCTTTGGATTATCAGTCGAAGAAAAGACTTGGTGCTTACATGAAATTCCATGAATGCGATGTAAATCCATATTTAGCACTTATTTTCAAAGTGGACTTACTACTGTTGCAACAAAAGTTGCAATGCTTATAAATTATATTGGATTTGCAGTCAACTATTTCTTGTTAGATTGTTCTTTTTAGTGTGTACCATAAATTTTACTTTTAACCATTTTCTCCTTATTATTTTTTCTCATTTTCATAGGAGATTGTCACTGTAGTTGTATTCATGCCTTTTCTTTTAGAGTTTTTATTCCTAATATTATGTTAACCAATGTATTGATTGCAAAACCGTTAATTTTAGTTAGAATCAATGATTATCCCTGTCTACATGACTATCCCTATCAATGAGTTATATTGTTTGTTTTAGGAATTGATTGCTGCTCTTCTGGCTTGTGCTTTGGTTTGCTTGTTTCCAACAGGAGAGGCGAAAAAATCTTCAACACATCAACTTTGATAAATTGTTTGGGTATGTTACCACTTATCATCGATATACTTGTAATTCTCTTTTGTTAAAATCTTCATCTTTTATGATTGTACTCAGTAGTAAATGTTATTATCTGGTCCAAAGCAAGTTTGAGATATTGTGCTTTTGTTATTGATTTTCCATTTTCGTATTGCTATGTGTATGCATTTTAGTGAGAGTTAAAAGTTGTAGTTGTTTCATGTTTTGTTAATGAAGATGTTGATGCAAACTCTGGTGTCATAACATGGCCTTTTTATTCAGTTGTTTTGGAATTAATCAATCATATCAAAATTGTATGTGTATATTTGGGTTGCATTTAGCATATTATTGACATATGGATTTCTTGGCCAAAGTTATGGTATATGGAATGTATAAATTAATTTTGTTAATATTTCGTGCCTCGTTTTCTTTTAGTAGCAAATATAAGGCATCACTTTCAGTTCGACCAAATATTTTTACGGAAATTGATCATATTTGGTAAGGTATGAACACTCTGTGACAAGCTTTAATTTTTTTTTCTAGGAAAAAATTGCCACACCAAAATATTGCACTAATGACAATCTATCTATGTTGATTGATTGGAATTAGATTGTTAATGAAATTATATCCTATTCAAGAACTAAAATAGCAAGCACATGGCGGGATTAGTAACTTTCTTTCGTTAGAATGAGATCATATGACAATATGGTTGATTATTAATATAGCTTAACATGCTATTAACATACACTTGTTCTCTTTATCTTATGACCATTTGGCTGAAGTATTATTAGAGGCTACACCTTGAGTACAACTGTGAATCTTTTGAAGATATAAATTGTAACATATAAATCTTTATTTTGCTTCTTTATGTATACCTTTTGGCTTCAAGGAGAAATTCTTTACAATATGTGATGATGAAATTTTTTGATTCTTGAGGTGTGCTAAAAGAATGGTCTTAAGCATTAACAATAAGATTTCTTACTTAAGGTTATGAAGTTGTGATATTAATTTTTCTGTTTCTGAATGTATCACATCTCTTTTTCATGTAAGGTGACGAAATATTTTGTGAATTACAGAGAATGGTGGAAAAGAACAATCCAAATATACCCTTAATATAGTTTTTTGCTTACTGATATTCCTGAAACTATACTAGTGGGTGTTGGACTAGTTTGTTTGAAATTAAGTTGTGTTAATACTCTTAATAGCATAAAGTGAACTATGCATAAGAGTTGAGATCATTCAATTTGTGTGAAAGAAATCTGGATGGAACTCATCAAACAATGTCACTTTAATTTATGTTGCATTTTATGACTATATTGTGACATGAACATGTATAGTTGGTTTGGATGAAATTGTTGAGGTTAAGCTAAGTATGTCTTGCTGGAGAAGAATTTTCTAATAGAGATTTATTTCGAACTCTTTGTTTTTCATAGTATCATTTGAACTTTTTTTTTTTCAATTTATATGTAATTAAGGATTAATGGTGAAGTAGTGTAACATTGGATGAGATAGTATAAATATATAAGTGTGTATACCACATGCTCGTCTCTTCGCACATGTCTGTGAAAGTGTTTTAACTCTTGTCCTTCTTGTTCTTTTTCCTCAATAAAGGAAGAAGCCAAAGGGCTGAACTAGAAAGATGAAAGATGCTGATGGGGAAGCCTGCTCATAGGGTTTGAGAGAAAGTTAAAGCTTGCAGAGTGGGCATGATTATTTGGAGCCAATCTAACCACTTAAAGTGCCTACACCTCATGGGTCAAGCCGTTGTTCAACTCATGGTAATATCATGTGAATACTTTTTATGTTTTGTTCCTAGCTCCACAAATGATTGGTGAACCAATAAAGATAAGCCATGCTATTCTATTTCATCTTATGTATCTTTTGTTCATGGCTGGTCAAATGAACAAGGTTAAACTTGATTATCAATTTATATTATTTTACTTTCTATGTGTCTGTGCGCACCAGAACTCTTTATACTCTCTAGGATTAGTCCAGTCCTTGTGCTGTTGCAT